AGTCCTGATGACTCTACCTGCTACATTGATCTTTTCATACAGTAATTTATTCACTGAGTCACTAGAGAGATACTTTTAAAATGTTAACCATATTGTGTTACTTTCCCTCAAAATTCCGCAAAGGTACCCTCAGAATAAGTTCCAAACACCTTCCGATGGTCTACAGGGCCCTACAAATCGGGCCTTTCTCTGACCGTTGGCCTCATTTCCTATGACTGTCCCCCTCACTCACTCTGATCTAGCCACATTGTGTTTAGAACAGTTGCTGGAACATTCCGTGCTTAGTCTTGCTCCAGGGCCTCACTTGCTGTTCTTTCTGCCTGAAAGATCCTTGTTCTCCTCCCAGATCTTTATAAGTTTCACTTCCTCACTTCACTCAAATATTACCTCCTCAGAGAGATGGTCGCTAACCATGCTGTCTAAAACAGTATCTCCTCACTGTCATTGGCTGGCTCCATATTTTGCTTTATTTCTCATCGTTGTACTTGTCACTACCCGGAATTGTATTTATTTGTTTGTGGTAGGTTTCCCCCCATTGGAATGTAAGCTCCACTGAGGCAGGAATTTTTTCTCATTCGCTGACGTATCACCTACAACAGTGACGGCACATAGCACATGCTGTGTGAGTATTTGTGACCTAAACAAAGGAAGAGATTGAATACTGTGAGATTACTCTCAAAAGTGGCTGCAGAAGCTTATACACCCACCGGCAATTCATAGGGCTCCTGTTCCCTCTTGTCATCAATATTCAGTATTTCTTATCTTTGTAATTTTACCAAACAAGTTTTTCTTTTCCTAAATAAGAACATTTTAAAATTATTTTTATTTTATTTATTTTCTGTAACCCAGGACAGGGCTGATAATAATATATTTTTTTAAATTACTATTCTTTTTTTTTTTTTTTTTTTTGAGATGGAGTTTCGTTCACTCTTCTTGCGCAGACTGGAGTGCCATGGTGCGATCTTGGCTAACTGCAACCTCTGCCTGCCGGATTCAAGCAATTCTCCCGCCTCAGCCTCCCAAGCAGCTGGGATTACAGGCGTGTGCCACCAGGCCTGGCTAATTTTGTATTTTTAGTAGAAATGGGGTTTCTCCATGTTGGTCAGGCTAGTCTCAAACTCCTGACCTCAGGTGATCCACCCACCTCAGCCTCCCAAAGTGTTGGGATTACAGGCATGAGCCACCATGCTCGGCCTAAAATTATATTTTTTAATGTAAACTTTTCAGCAAAAGAAAGGCATTTCAATACCAAAGGAGTGCAAAGGACAATTTCAGAATAGAGAGCAGAGTACTTCTTTACATTGAATGTCTTTAGCTTTATGAGAAATTCACATATAGTTAATGAAAACTAACAGTGCCTATCTGAAGGAACTCTGGCAGGAAGGCTGTGCTATAACTCGTATTTCTCCACATCTCCTCTTGTCCAGTGGGAAGGAAGAAGGTTGATACCAAGAGGGAGGAAAAGTTTTAAGAAGACAGGACTAGGATAAGGCCTATCCAAACACACCCTCCTTAAACTTCCTCCTATGATTCTAGCAGGTCATTTTATCCCTTCCCTAGTCTCTTCTAAGTTGTAACTGAACCAAGTTTTTCTACCTTGGGCTACTGGGCTGGGCATAGAGACCTTTGTGTTTGAGAGGAGCAATGCTACTCCATATCTGATCACCCAGACCTGTTAACACCTCTCTTCCTCCTGTCCCTAGCTAAGGCCCTTGTCTGTGAAGTCTGGATGAGAACAACAGCCTTCAAATCTACCTCCCTCAACCCCTCTTCTAGTCGCCCCATTCACCTTGTACCAGAATAATCATACTAAACATCACTTTTCATGAGTTCCTTCTTTACTCGAAATTTACCTACAGAATTCGATCAATTTTCTTATGGACATTTAAAGAGCCTCTATAGCACATTTAAGAGCCTCTATAGTCTGTTTACTTCTCCATTATTATTTCCTTCCACTAAACTCTGTTTCAGTCAAAGGATTTACCTTCTTTTTCCCTGACATCTGCATGCCAATTTTCCCCTTTATGCGCTTGCTTACATCATCCCACTCTGGAACATCCTTCCCTGTCTTCTCCTGTTCTCTAGGTCTGTCATGTTTTTCAAGGCCCCACCCATGTATTATCTTCTTCATGAAATGTGCCTGAACACTCCAGTCCCCAGTGAGTGATCTATTCCCTGAGTTCCCGTCTTGTTCATCATCATCTCCACTTCCAAATGCATAGCTGGTAGTACAATATCCTATTGATAGAGTTTGGTGTTTAATATGCTTTGAAACAAATTAACATGGTAATTTACTCATTTTCCTGTTGGTGGATATCTGCACTGACTTCTTTTCAACAAAAGAAAGGTATTTCAATACCAAATTTTGCTTTTACAAGTTTTGTTACTATAAACATTATCATACCTGTTGTCTGGTGTGCATATGCTAAATTTTCTCTTGGGCACATCCACCTAGGCATGGAATTCTGGGTTATAGAGTATGCATATACACTATTCAGCTTACAAGATAATGGATGTGTGTAACACAATAAGAAATATATACTTTTCTCTGCCACTTTGGGTAGCTCTTTGGCACAGAGCTACCAAAATCCTGGGGATTTCCTGAGTGATAGGGATGAGAGGAGTATCTCTTGTTATGTATAATTAGCCCCTTCAATCATACCTGACTTTATGCTAATAAGGTGACTCTTAACTCTGCAATTATAGGGTTGGAACTTTCAGGGGTCTGTGCTAACTCTGAGTAGTTAGAGTAAGAATTGGTAAATTACACAACATCTAATTTGTTTCTGCTGAGAATTAGAGAATTGCTTGGTGTGGAAAACTCACCTTGACCTCCTGGAGGAGAGAGGGGCTGGTGTTTGAATTAATCATCAATTGCCAGTGATTTAATCAATCATGGCTGTGTAATGAAGCCCTCATTAAAAACCCTAAATGGTGGAGTCCTAAGGGCTTCCAGGTCAGTGAACACATGGAGAAGCTGGAGGGTGGCACACCCAGAAAAAGCATGCAAACGCTGCACCTCTTCCCACTTACCTTGCCCTACGTATATTGTCATTGGCTGTTAAGTAAACTGTTTTCCCAAGTTTTGTGAGCCATTCTAGCAAATTATTGAACCCAAGGAGTTGTGAGAACCTCTGACTTATAGCTGGTCGGTGTCAAGTACCAGAGACCTGGGATTTGCAATTGGCTTTTGAAGTGAGAGCAGTCATGTGGGACTGACCCCTTAACCTATGGGGTCTGTGCTAATTCTGGGTAGTTAGAGCCAGAACTGATAAACTGTGGAACATCTAGTTGGTTTCCACTGAGAAGCAGAGAAAAACTTGGAATGGAAACCCACATATTTGATGTCAGAGGTATTGTGAGTGGAGAACAGTTTTCCTTTCATGTGCTGGCTATCTAATGTTTATTTCAGAGACAATGTTGAGCATAGCTGCATTGGGACCTCTGTCAATTACAGAATCTTAAATGGCACAAGCCATAAACCAGATCCATTGTAACAATTCCTCTTCCCTACTCCCTCTCCAACCTTCCCAGGCTAGACAGAAAGAGATAGGTAAATGCTTGCTCTCCCTCTCTCTCTCTCTCTCATTCGTTTAGCTCTGTTCTTGCCTTCCTCATCCCTGTTGATAGGAGATCCTCTTACTGAAGTTTCTAAGTCCTTGACCAAGGCTGGGTCCCCTGGAGAGAGTCTAGAGATTTAGCTGATGCCAGATATAACATTCATCCTTTAAGGTCCAGCTTCATTCCCATCCTCTTCAAGATGTTTTCCCTTATTTTGCTGGCCCAACTCAATTCAACTAAACAAAATATACTGAGAATTTACATATGTCTCATTAAACTAGACATCAATGACACAACATGGAACAAAGAGCTCAGGAGAATTTTCAAAGAGCTCACCCTCTGGTGAACAAAAATGAGTAATAAAAAATTAAAATGCAGTGTGATGATAGAGGTGCACAGATACACATGGATGAGGTGTACAGAGATGATATTTATCTCAGCCAACTGCATCCACTTTTTCCTTCCCAGATCTCTGATAGCTTCTACTATCTGTAAATGAATTCCCCATTTAGCAGGAGCTTGCAGGATGCATTCATGCATATGGGAGCATTAGCCGAAATCAACTCCATGTAGAGTGGTTATAATACAGCATCTTTGGAGACACATCTACCGTGGTACATTGGCAATTGAGCTTCCATTTTTTCAAGTCCATCAAAGTCATGACATAGTTCTGGTCACTCTTGCAACTCCCATTCATACAATTGTAAATCAGTCCTCTCAGGCTGTAGTGATGTTTACGGACTTCTACCTATTCCCAGATGCCTGCTGATCTTTTTTTTCCCTCAAAGGTGCTAAGAACTACCATAAAACTCTCATTTTACCATCAGCATGATTCTATTTGTTTCTTTGTGGCATGTCTAGAATGATCATGTGCATGTCTTTTATAAATCATTTTGGGTCAAAACTGCACATAATAAATGGCACAAAGAAAGGCCACAGTGGAGAAAATCACACCGTATAATTTAGGATAACATGGTAGAACAGCCATTGGTTGAGGTCATTATAAAATGGTGTGCTAACTGAGTTGAGGTTACTATAGAGTCTGCCAGGCCAGCTCTCATTGGCTGAGAATGTACAATAGAAGTCCAAGCATAGAAAAAAGTATTAATACGAGACTAAAACAGTGTCATTATTGTGTTATTAAAGGAAAAGATTTCAGAGACAGATGAATTAAATAAAAACAACTATCTGCAACTCTGGCAATATTATATTCGGTCACTTATTTCTGAGCCCAGTAGGATCCTGTGGGAAATTTTTATATACCCTGCTTTAATTGTGTTATAGGATGGGCTACTATTCTCTTCTATCCCACAGTGTAAGCCCTCTGTAGACAGAGACACTGTTTTATGAGTATTTTTAACATATCATAAACTCAGCCATGTAGCAGAGGCCAACTGCCTAGTCTATTTGGGTTGCTATAACAAAATACACAAACTGAATAGCTTACAAACAACAGAAATTTACTTCTCATGGTTCTGGAGGCTGGAAGTTCAAGATCAAGGCAGCAACAGAGTCGGTGTTCGGTGGGAGCTGTTTTTTGGTTCTTGTATACGTCATCTTCTTGCCATGTCCTCATATGGTAGAAGGGTGAGTTAGCTCTCTGGGGCCTTTTTAAATAAGGGCACTAATCCTAATCATGAGGGCCCTGCCCTCCTGATCTAATCACTTCCCAAAGGCCCACTTCTTAGTGCCATCACCTTGGGGATTAGGATTTCAACATATGGCTTTTGAGGGGACACAAACTAGAACTAAAGAACAGACCATCGCACCAACTAAAGACTAGTATGTCAATAAGAATAGCTGAATGAGGCTGGAAAGAGATAGTAATTAGAAAGGCAAAGTCCCATTCCAGAGCCCAACACTTAGGATTTCATTAGGCTGGGGTTTCTCAAACTCAATACAACTGACGTTTTCGGCCAGATTATTTTTTGCTGTGGGGTACTGCCCTATGCATTATAGGATGTTTAGCAGCATCCCTGGCTTCTATTTACTAGATGCCAGTAGTACACACATCCCACCACCCCTCAACCCCCCAAGTATAATGACCAAAATGTCTCCAAATATTGCCCGATGTCGTCTGGGGAGCAAAATTGCCCCCAATTGAGACTGCTGTATTAAATCCACCTGCATTAGTTCTCTTTAAATCACAAAATTCTGGTCTACATAACAGATAGAAATTCCTGATCTAAAGAGCAGAATTCTGTTGTGTTAAGAGAGAATACGCAATTATAACTAAACTCCAATTCTCACTTTGTACAAATTTATTTACACTCACCTATCTACATTATTCTAACAAAACACTGGGACAACCTGTAAAAGTACTTATGCATATGTGCAGGACAGGAAGAGAAAACATAGAAAGAATCAGATTTATTGGGGTGGTTAAGCGAGATCGTGGACGAATTGTTTACTCCTATTCAGCAGTAGCCTTTGTGGTCCCAGGCTTCCGGTGGCCAGATAATTCCCTCAACTCCATAAGCAGGTGACCGAGGAGAACTCTCACATCCTGCATGTGTTTGAGAAGAAGGCCCATCTGGTGATACAGATGGGGATCTGGCATCCCCAGAGGAGAAGAAAAGCCTGGATCCTCAGAAGATGGGGTTGGCGGTGGAGGCAACGGCCCAGGAGCCTCCTCAGGAGCAGTTCCTGGAGCAGCTGATTTCTGAGGAGCTGGATTCAAGGTGGGAGGTGCAGAGCCGGAGGGACCTGGATTACGGGGCAGGAGGCACATACAAGAGTGAAGTCCGACTCTGGCCCTTCCCTCCCATCCCTGGCCAAACTTTCTTGTTCTCTGAAAGTGGCTGTAGGACTCAATGGCAGCAGGGACTTGAGGACTCTAGTGTCCCTCCTGGTCCAAATTTTAATCTGAAGCTTGGCCACCTCTGTTTGAAATTCTTCAGCAGTGAGGCTTTACCACTGGACAGCTATAACCATTAGCCAGTTCTTTCTCTATCAAGGCTGAATCTAATTCCCTGAAGCATGAATGTGGTAACTGGTTCTAGGTCAGCCTCTTTATTATATATGACATTAGTCTAATTCCTTGTGCTAATGCCAGCCTTCAGCTTTTTGAGGACACCCCTGCTGGCCTCTGAGTCACCTCCTATTCAGGATAGCATCTCCAGCCCCTTCCATTATTTTTCATATGGCATGACTTCAAGCCCCCTTATCACCCTGGACACCTCCTCTGGAAGTGTTTCAGGTCAAGGGCAGCCTCTTAACAGTGGCTCCGAGAATTGAACATAGACTTCAGACTATCCCATCTTCATTCCAGATATTAAATTCCTATAAATGCCCAGAGAGCATGGGGGGGATGCTAAGGCTTGCGTGGCAGCAGGTGTGGAGCTGGCTCAGCTCTTGGACTGGTGAGGTGTACATCACAGTCTGAGGGAGAAGTTCTCTATTTGTGCTGTCTCTCATCATCAGGGATTCTGGCCCATTGTTCCTGTCTTTTCTGTGTCCCTTCTTAACCTGCTCACACCGAATCCCAGCTCACAGGCCAATTCATCCTATCTCCCCTTTTCACTCACATGCATGCCAAACAGACACCCTGCACTCTGATACAAACTCACCCTGCACTCTGATCTCTAGCTGGGGGCTCTGTTTCCAAACTTGGTTGTCCTCAGTGGCTGCCTCACACCAGTATGAGCCGGAGTGATCTTCTGAAGCTGTGGGGATCTGGAATTCTGAGGAGAGCCCCCTGCTTTGCACTGTCCTTCCATCCTTGTAGAAGGAGAAGAGGAGGCGGGCAGCTGACCTCTGCAGGGGCAACTTTGTCTGACAGCTCAGGGTCATGGGGCCTCCTGCTTGGGGTTCAGCTGAGGGTATAGCTCTGAGAATTGGCGCTGGAAACAGTTCTGGGAAAAAGGCAAGAAAGAAGAACTCAGCCACCTTATATACAGGTAGACACATGCAGGCGAAGAGCCTCGGGGAGTCACACTTCCTTTCCCATTTCCAGCAGGAATGGGCTGTCTTAGATTCCATTTGAATCTGTCAAATTCTTCCTGCAAGTAGACAGGACTAGGAAAGATCCACAGATGGGCAAATCTGATAGTAGTCCAGACACCCAATCAGGGAGCGCTGGGAAGCATAGATCTGGGTGGTAGGAACCATGCTGGACTCTGAGTAGGGCTGGATGACTTGAAAAGGCAATGTTGAGGTCTCGTCCCTTTTGAAGCCCAACTTGGGCATTTGCCAGCAACCTGCTCCATAATCTTTTGATGATCTTGCCACCTCTAGGCTAAAGAAAGACAATTTGGGTTCTCTATCTCTCCTTACCCTCCCCTGCCATGAAGATGCTGCTTCTAGCTCTCACCTTGGACTGTGATATCCACAACAGATGCTGTTTCTGGGCTCCCAGGACCAGGGCTCTGGAAGATGCCACTGCAGTGGTAGTGCCCGCTGTCTGCCTCTTGTACCACGGCGATGGAGAATTCCCTGTTAGGCCCGGGGGGACCCAGAGCTGAGCCATCTCGGTAGAAGGTCACCTGAGTCAGTGGCCAGTCTTGCCAGGCCTGGCAGCGCAGAACTAGCGGGTCCCCTTCAAATACTGGCTTGGCTGGACCTTGGAGGATCAGCCAGTCTATGGTCCAGAGAAAGAGCTGAGTGTCACCCAGGGCCTCCCTTGGGAGCTACCCCCAGGGATGCCTACTCCCGTAAACTGTCTCTGAGGGTCCAGGTAAACTCTCACCCCTGGTTGGGAGTATGGGACAACTTCCCTAGGGCCTAGGACTTAGAGCACCCTGGTTGCTGTGGGCTGAAGACTGGGAAGGAAGTACCTCATCCCATGGCCAGTTTCCTAGGGACACGTTCCTGGGTGGGCTCTGGGGCTGAAAGAAGGGGTTTAGGGCACTGTTCAGGTCTTCCCAGGACCTCACCGTAGGACACAATCAGGTGGAAGGGTTCACTGAAAGTGTAGCCCTTGACCTGGAAGCCAGCTTCCCTTGCATCCGTCAAATCATCCTCCACGTGGCAGCTGCTCTCCTCGGTGCAGACAGGTCCCTCACACTGCAGCGTCTCAAAACTGGCAGCTGAAGAGGGCATGGCCCAGGGAGAACCAGAAAATGATGCTGCAACTTGGAGAAAGAGGACAGGGTTCCTCCATCTCCCAGGAGAATCATCCTTCTTAGAATGAGACTAGTAAGACACCAAAACCTTTTTTTCAGAAAGACCCCTGTGAGTGTCTCAGGGGGATAGTTTTGACCTTGATTCACGGGCGCCCAGGTGCTCTCAGCAAATGCACTGTGGTTTGGAGAAGAGGGAGGGGAGAGAATGAAAGAATGGTGAAACTCACCAGCATGACATCCAGCTGCTGGTACGGGAAACCAGGAGCAAAGACAATGGTAACTCGAAGCAGGTGAGGCATAGGACAGGAATGAAAGGGAGACATCAGATTCTAATGTTCATTGGGTACCAGACCCTGCTAGCACTTGTGTGCATTATCTTACTTCATCTTCACAAACTTTCCAGGTATGTGACTTTATCCTCATTTAATACTCTTAAAGAAACACACTTAGAAAACCAAATTAGGCCTGGCGTGGTGGCTCATGCTTGTAATCCCAACATTTTGGGAGGCCGAGGTGGGCGGATTACGAGGTCAAGAGATCGAGACCATCCTGGCTAACACCGTGAAACCCCGTCTCTACCGAAAATACAAAAAAAAATTAGCCAGGCGTGGTGGTGGGCGCCTGTAGTCCCAGCTGCTCGGGAGGCTGAGGCAGGAGAATGGTGTGAACCTGGAAGGTGGAGCTTGCAGTGAGCCGAGATCGTGCCACTGCACTCCAGCCTGGGCAACAGAGCGAGACTCTGTCTCAAAAAAAAAAAAAAAAAAAGAAAGCAAGAAAGAAAAGAAAGCCAAATTAATATACCCAAAGCTTAAAAAGAGACTAAGCAATGGAGCAGGAAAGGCAGTTGTGTCTGAATCCAAAATCAGTGTTCTTTTTACTTCACTGTGCAGATATGGTATTATGGTATACTTCAGTCCTCAGACCTTCCTCGGGGACTTTCTTTCATATTCTGATTTTTCCCAAACTTCACTTGGCTCCTCAGCCTTGAATATGTTATCTATCAAAGAGCTTTCAGTACCCAGCGGTGTCTCTCCTCCTTTCTTCCTCCCCCTTTCAGGTCTTCACTTTTCAGCCATCTCTACTTTAATGTCCTCTGCCACTTGAATTTTCCCAGGTAGTGGCATAGAGCTTTCTCTGTCTTTTCCCCATCCTTCCAGTCCATACCAGTAACTGTGGAACAACTCTTTTCTCCAGATTGAAATTGAGAGTCATCCATTTCTCACCACATCTTCTCAACCTATCTCTTACCTTCATGGTAGACCCAGGCAAGGGAAGTGACATGTCTCCCTTCTCTGGGACTGCTCCTTATCTCCCTAACTATTCTCCCCTTTCTCCAGCCTCATGACCATTCACATGTGCATACTTCTTCACTCCATCCGACTGTCATTTCGTGCCCCACTTGCCTTTATTCTCTTGCACTCCCAATAGCCCAGCGTTCTTCTTTGATTACCAAGGCCCCTCTTTACTTCCTAATTCTCATCACAGCAGTACCAGGTGTTTTCTTTCCATCCTCTCTCAGCTCCCTTCACTGTAATGCTACCTCTTTTCAGTTCCTCCACTGTCACCCAACTGTGCTCTGCCTCCTCTCCATTTTTTCTTTTTAAAAATAAAATTTTGTCCAGGCACGGTGGCTCATGCTTATAATCACAGCACTTTGGGAGGCTGAGGTGGGAGGATCCCTTGAGCCCAGGAGTTTGAGACCAGCCTAGGGAGCATAGAGAGATCCTGGCTTAACAAATAATTTTTTAAAAATTGGCCAGGCATGGTGGCACTTGCCTGTGGTCCCAGCTACTTGGGAGGCTGAGATAGGACAACTGCTCAAGCCCAAGAGGTCAAGGTTGCAGTGAGCAGTGATTGCACCACTGCACTCCAGCCAGGGTGGCAGAGTGAGACCCTGTCTCAAAAAACAAAATAAAATAAAATCTTGTTGGGTTACTGGGAACTCACTCAATAAACCTTAGGTAGTAGGTACTATTATTTTCATTTTACAAATGATAAAACTGAACCAGAGATATAAAAAGTGATTTTCTAAAGTGACATAGAGCTGGTACATAGAAGAGGGGCTTGAAACCAGAGTATCTGATTCCAAGTCTGCAGTTCTTATCACAAGACAAAAACAAAAACAAAAAATTATCCCTAACCACAAGTAGCTCTCAATTTAGTGGAAGACACAGGTAGATGAAAATATTATTTCAGCATAAGTAGGAAAATATTATAGTAAGAAAATGTATCGCAAGCAGCCATTGGAGCAGAAAGAAGCATTCAAGAAAAGCTGCCTGGAAAAGATACCACTTAAGCTGAGTCTTTAGGGGTACCTACACATTTGCAAGGAGGAGGAGAATAGGGGGCCATCGAAATAGCTCATTTCAGGTGGAGATGGTGGTATAAGCAAAGCCTTAGAGACAGGCAAGAGTCTGGTGTGTGAGTATGTAACTATGAACTGATTGAGATTTATTAGAGCATAAGTTACAAGGCTGAGAGGGTAAAAGCAGAGGCTGCTTGGCCTTTTGTGCCATGATAAGGAATTTGGGCTGGTAAACTTGAGTTTTAGAAATTACTCTGTCTGCAGGGTACAGAATTCATTTCAAGAACACAAGGTTTGGACAAGGAGATTAGTTAGGAATTTACTGGACTAGCCCAAGTCATAGAGGATGAGGGCTTGTCCTAAGACATTAGTGATGATCCCTGGAAGGGACTGCTTCTATGAGCAATTTAGAAGGTAAAACTTGCCAAACCTAATGATTGTCAGATTTAGAGAATGAAGAAGAAGGAAGAGTCTGGATTGTTTCTCAGGTTTATGGCCTTGTAAGGGTAGATGTTGGTGTCATTAGCTGAGATCAGAAATAGTGGAAAATGAATTAGTCGAGGCGGGGGGCAAAAGGACAGATAAGTTCAGCTCTGGTCACATAGTGCAGAGACACCTGTGAGATATGTAGGTAGATATGTCTGGTATGAAGCGTGATATTTGAATGTGAAGCTCAAAAGCATGGTTAGGTTGGGGATATGATTTGGGACTCTTAAATACAGAGTTATAGTGGCAAAAATTATATAGTCAAATAAGCTTATGAAGGAGATTGTCTAAAGAAAGAGGAGTACAGAGGCAAGGCTATGACTATAGAGAACACTACTGTTTAAGGGGAAGAGAAGAGAAGCTATTAAGGGATCAAGAAAAGTCCATGTAGTACGAGGAGAAAATGGTGCCATGGAAGCCAGGGTAGTAGAGAATGCAAAAAGAAGTAAGTGATAAACAGTGCAGCAGAGAAGTCCAGCAGGATATGAACTGAAAAGCATGCCATAACCCAGTCAATATGGAGGTCATTGTGCCCTAGACAAAACCGATTCCAGTGGAAGCCAGGCTGCAAGCATTGAGGAGTGTATGAGAAGTGAGGAAGTGCAGATAGCAAGTGCGGACTATTCTTTTGAGAAAATTTGTCTCATAAGTGAAAGAAAAGAGTTGAGATTACAGCTAGAGAGGACGTCATGGTCAGAGGGGACTTTCAGGATGGAAAAGGCTTGAAGATTTTTGTATTCAGAAAGTCATTCAATCCTGCACACCAAACTTTCTTATACCTACCCTTCTTATTCCACCTGAACACTGCTTCTCTGGAGGGCCAGAATTAGTCCATGTTTCTTTCCTTCAGGTCCTTTCCCCAAAGTTAAGCAAAGCTCCATTCCCACACCAATATTCAAATATTTTACTTACCTAGTAGCATCTGGGATGTCCAGAGCACACCAAGGGAAAGGTAGAGGGCCCAGGCCATGAGAACACAGCCCAGCTTCATGGTGACTGTGTTTAGGTCTCCTGCAATCCCAACAATGATTTTCTTCAACATGAAACCTCTTTGATTAGAAAAGAGGAAGTAAATCTAACTGTCTCATCTCCTTGCGTCTGGGGTCTATTTTCATTTTCAAGTTTGTAATTGGCTTTCATCATTCAGATTTGGACAACACGCTTTCAGCATAATCTGCATCCTTAGGGCTGTGACAAAATGGTAGCACTCTCAGCTGTTCTCAACTGACCTCACAGAGGTCAGGGGACTTTCAAAGCATGTCATTGTCTGATAGCCAGCTGGCCTTCATGTACACTCTGGGAAAGGTCAGTGCAACAACCACCCTTTTCAATGGTGATGCAACTGGGGACAGAAGGTGGGATGTTGTTTTAAGGCCAATAGAAAATCACTGGGGAATCAACGATGAGAATTCAAATGTCCTGCCCATTCCAACACTTATATGTTTCTAGTGACTAGAAGGTAGCGAGACAGAGAAGGAAGATTAGTCATAGCACCAAGTTAGATATGAGATTAGTCTCTAGTAGGCTCTGACTATCCAAACCCCACACAAATATGCATGCAAATTTCTCTAGACTCGTGTCAGCTCTCTGCTTCTGGAGCATGACTAAGGCTGCTCAGTCTCAGTGGAAATATGAGTACAAGGCAGGGAGAGTCCACTGGGAAACAGTAGAGGAAAAAGAAAATCTATTCCCAGAGGATCCAGCAGTCAGCTCAGGGCTTAGGCTCATAGCCAAAGCTCAAGCCACTGATCCTGAGGAAATTAGAGACAGGAGGCATCCGATATCTTGAGAAACCTGAGGAGACTCAGGAATAGGGGCAATATAGAGGCTACAGCCTCTCCCTTCAGTTCCAGGTGGCCTTCTGGGAACCATTGTCGCTGTCTCTGAATGTTTTCTATTTGCTTGAGGCCTCCTCAATGGCAGGGCCCATGTGTCTTTTCACAGTGACCACATGCCTCCCCTTTCTCTCATCATAACACCCACCAGACCTCCAGTAGGTTATTTGGAGATGAGATGAGCCATCAGAAATGGGGTAAGGTAGGCCAAGCACTGTGGCTCATGCCTCTGTAATCCCAGCACTTTGGGAGGCCAGGGTGGGCAGATCACTGGACTGGAGGTCAGGAGTTAAAGACCAGCCTGGCCAGCATGGTGAAACCTCATCTCTACTGAAAAAAAAAAAAAAATTAGCTGGGCATGGTGGTACTTGGCTGTAGTCCCAGTTACTTGGAAGGCTGAGGCATGAGAATCATTTGAACCCAGGAGGCGAAAGTTGTAGTGAGCTGAGATCACACCACTGCACTCTAGTGTGGGTGACAGAGTGAGACTCCATCTCAAAAAGAAAAAAAAGAGGGAGAGAGAGAAATGGGGGAAGGTAGTTTGGTCCTCCTTGAAGGCAGAGAGAGGGACAGTATGACCCTTCAACTGTGCAAAAACCACAGGTCAGAGCAGGCACATCAACCACACGGGCATAAGAGAGTGGATCTTTCTGTGTCTAAAATAAGCATTTAGAATAAAATTTCCATTATCTGAGAGGCATATGCTTTTGTGCAGGTGGCCCCAGGGAGTCCGGGGGTGGTTGACTATGGGTGCTGGGGAAGGCAGTGAGGCAGTAAGCCTTGCAGCTGATGTGATGTGAAGCCTCAGAAGAGGAAGAAAACCCTAGCTAGCCCTAATAGTTTTTTTAATTTTTATTTTATGTATGTATTTATTTATATATATATTTTTTGAGACAGAGTCTTGCTCTGTCGCACAGGCTTGAGTGCAGTTGCGCAATCTTGGCTCACTGCAAGCTCCGCCTCCAGGGTTCAAGCCTGCCTCATCCTCCTGAGTAGCTGGGACTACAGGCACATGCCATCACGCCCGGCTAATTTTTTGTATTTTTTGTAGAGATGGGGTTTCACCACATTAACCAGGATGGTCTTGATCTTCGGACCTCATGATCCACCTTCCTCGGCCTCCCAAAGTGCTGGATTACAGGCGTGAGCCACCAAGCCTGGCCATACAAATTAAATAAATAAAATGTCTTTAGATGCATTGCCACTCCTAAAACTACATAAAACATAGACCCTCAGGATTAGCCAGAGGCTAAGCGGCTTCTAAACAAATCACAGTATCTTTCTCTTCTTATGTCACCCTTTCTCCTTAACTGCCCTTTCCATAGCATTTTACCCGAATAGAGACCCTCCCCTATAGCATCTGCAGCAATCCTTCCAGGACCCCACTCTCAATATGGAAGGCAAGGAGCCCTCTGAAAATTTGAGTTGAAGCTGTCAAGGTCTTTACACTGAAATCTCCATTAAGCTGCTGGGAAAATTTACTCGCTTGAAGCTTAATCAATGAACTATTTAGAATAGATGTGATTCACTGCGGGGGGTGAGGGGAAGCAACACTGGGTCTGCTGTGTGTTCATGGAGACTGAGATTCAGTTTATTGAGTAAGTTCCTCCATCAGGATCACCTCAGAATACTCAGGGGGTGATGGGACAAATCCCAGCTCTCATCCCATCCCAAGACCAATTAGGTGGTGGATGCCCTCCTTTGCCGTTCCTGGTTTGTCACTAGTGGACTAATGCTTATCTTCTCTTTATTTTTAATTGACTAGATAAAAACATTTATTAAAAATGTGAAGGTGAAAAAATAATACAGTGTATACTTTTGAACCCTCATATGGTTGAAGGAACAGAATAGTACTGCTATCCTTGAAGTACTGCATGGATCCCTATCTGATTATATTGTCTTCCCTCCCCACCATCATCAAACACAATCCTTACCTTGTATTTCTCACTCTCTTTATTTTATGTAGTAATCATTTTGTATTTTTGAACTTTTTTTTATTCTATTTTTTCTCCACTTCTATGAATAGTATTTATTTTGGAATTTTCATAAAAAAATAAACATTATTTTAAAAACAGTTTAGATTTACAAAACATACAAAGACAGTACAGAAAATTCCCATGTACCCTGCACCCAGTTTACCCTACTATTAACATATTAATATGGTACATTGGTTATAACTAATGAAACCTATATTGTTATATTATCATTATATTTGCCTACTTTTATTGATTTTTTACAATTAAAATTATTTTTATTTTTTCATTATTTATTTATTTATTTATTTTTCTTATACTTTAAGTTCTAGGGTACATGTGCACAACATGCAGGTTTGTTACATATGCATACATGTGACATGTTGGTGTGCTGCACCCATTAACTCGTCATTTACATTAGGCATATCTCCTAATGCTATCACTACCCCCTTCCCCACACCCCATGACAGGCCCCGGTGTGTGATGTTCCCCTTCCTGTGTCCAAGTGTTCTCATTGTTCAATTCCCACCTATGAGTGAGAACACGCGGTGTTTGGTTTTCTGTTCTTGTGACAGTTTGCTGAGAATGATGGTTTCCAGCTGCATCCATGTCCCTACAAAGGACATGAACTCATTCTTTTTTATGGCTGCATAGTATTCCATAGTGTATATGTGCCATATTTTCTTAATCCAGTCTGTCATTGATGGACATTTGGATTGATTCCAAGTCTTTGCTATTGTGAATAGTGCTGCAGTAAACATACGTGTGCGTGTGTCTTTATAGCAGCATGATTTATAATCCTTTGGGTATATACCCAGTAATGGGATGGCTGGGTCAAATGGTATTTCTAGTTCTAGATCCTTGAGGAATGGCCACACTGCCTTCTACAATGGTTGAACCAGTTTACAGTCCCACCAACAGTGTAAAAGTGTTCCTATTTCTCCACATACTCTCCAGCAGCTGTTGTTTCCTGATCACCATTCTAACTGATGTGATATGGTATCTCATTGTGGTTTTTAATTTTTTTTATTTTTTTTGAGACGGAGTCTCGCTCTGTCGCCCAGGCGTGATCTCGGCTCACTGCAAACTCCGCCTCGCGGGCTCACGCCATTCTCCTGCCTCAGCTTCCCAAGCAGCTGGGACTACAGGCGCCTGCCACCACACCTGGCTAGTTTTTTTGTATTTTTAGTAGAGACAGGGTTTCGTGTGTTTGCCAGGATGGTCTCAATCTTCTGACCTCGTGATCCACCTGCCTCGGCCTCCCAAAGTGCTGGGATTACAGGCTTGAGCCACCTCGCCTGGCCTCGTTGTGGTTTTGATTTGCATTTCTCTGATGGCGAGTGATGATGAGCATTTTTTCATGTGTCTGTTGGCTGCATAAATGTCTTCTCTTGAGAAGTGTCTGTTCATATCCTTCACCCGCTTTTTGATGGGGTTGTTTGTTTTTTTCTCGTAAATTTGTTTGAGTTCTTTGTAGGTTCCGGATATTAGCCCTTTGTCAGATGAGTAGATTGCAAAAATTTTCTCCCATTCTGTAGGTTGCCTGTTCACTCTTATGGCAATTTCTTTTGCTGTGCAGAAGCTCTTTAGTTTAATTAGATCCCATTTGTCAATTTTGGCTTTTGTTGCCATTGCTTTTGGTGTCTCAGACATGAAGTCCTTGCCCATGCCTATGTCCTGAATGGTATTGCCTAGGTTTTCTTCTAGGGTTTTTATGGTTTTAGGTCTAACATTTAAGTCTCTAATCCATCTTGAATTAATTTTTGTATAAGGTGTAAGGAAGGGATCCAGTTTCAGCTTCCTACTTATGGCTAGCCAGTTTTCCCAGCACCATTTATTAAATAGGGAATCCTTTCCCCATTTCTTGTTTTTGTCAAGTTTGTCAAAGATCAGATGGTTATAGATGTGTGGTATTATTTCTGAGGACTCTGTTCTGTTCCATTTGTCTATATCTCTGTTTTGGTACCAGTACCATGCTGTTTTGGTTACTGTAGCCTTATAGTATAGTTTGAAGTCAGGTAGCTTGATGCCTCCAGCTTTGTTCTTTTGGCTTAGGATTATCTTGGCAATGCGGGCTTTTTTTTGGTTCCATATGAACTTTAAAGTAGTTTTTTCCAATTCTGTGAAGAAAGTCATTGGTAGCTTAATGGGGATGGCATTAAATCTATAAATTACCTTGGGCAGTATAGCCATTTTCACGATATCAATTCTTCCTATTCATGAGCATGGAATGTTCTTCCATTTGTTTGTGTCCTCTTTTATTTCATTGAGCAGTGGTTTGTAGTTCTCCTTGAAGAGGTCCTTCACATCCCTTGTAAGTTGGATTCCTACGTATTTTATTCTATTTGAAGCAATTGTGAATGGGAGTTCACTCATGATTTGGCTCTCTGTTTGTCTGTTATTGGTGTATAAGAATGCTTATGATTTTTGCACATTGATTTTGTATCCTGAGACTTTGCTGAAGTTGCTTATCATCTTAAGGAGA